ATGAAATACTATCTTAAACATGAACTTCTGTGGAAATTGGAAGTCCTGGAGTGACCTTAACACTTAGAAATATGGATGAAGATGTTAAGTGATGAATGATAGGTACAAGAGCAAAGGGGAAACTTGCAATTACAGAACTTTTTGATATACCTTCTAATATCTGAGGACTCCTGAAGCTTATTTTCTCGCCCATCTGAACAGTTTGGTCTGACCAAAGCCAGAACCAGAAACAAGTCCATGTTCTGTCTCTTGAGGTTTAAATCTTTAGCAGAGTATTTTTTTTTCTAAATTTTATTTGCTTTTCCACTATTTTGTGTGTTTGAATTTTTTTTATTAAACCAGAAAACAAGTACATGTCAGTACATGTGGTTCAGGATTGCTTACGGTACTGTAGCACTCCTTCCCCCCTTATGGTCAAAGGGGTTTCTCATCACTCAATGGGTATTTATGGTAGAAGAAGTGTAGCTGTTTCTTGAGAGAAAAATTAATTGGACATGACACAGTGATGAATATGGAATATGGCTGTATGGGTCTTACGCCATTAGATGTCACTTGGTTTCTTACCTAGTTGAAGTGTCATGTGGTTTTTTGGGCCATTAACTTCCTTGTGCACGTTCTTTGTACAGGCAAAGTTACTTAACTTTTGTGATCAGTTTGATTACTATAAATTGACTATAACTCTTTACATGATTTCCTTAGTGAAATGTTGAATTCCCAGATAAAACTACGTAATAGGACTCTTATTCTGTGTACTCTGTAGCCACATATAGCCGATCCGTGGGTCTTACACACTTCTGTAGTCTTCCATAAGCGGTCTGAGTTACAACACACTTTTCTTACCTGAGATGAGATATCCAATTAAGAAATTCCTTTTATTAAAATGCAGATGCAGGCCCAGAAGTAATGCCCATAAGGAAGAAATGTAGGTTTCCCCTTAATTACACCTTTTGCAGGTGACATAGCAAACCTTTTGGAACTTGATGTATAATTTAAGTTTAGAAATGCATCAAACCCTTTCTTGAAGCTGAAGTTGCAAGTTGGAGTGCAAGCAGCAGCTGCTTTTTGCAGCATAGCTTTTGGATGGTTGGCAGCAGGGCCATATGAAATGCTAAGTGTTCTTGGATACCTGAAGCTGTGCCTTCAATGCTTTTAGGATTTTGAATATGCAGTGCTTACACATAAAGCACAATAAAGCTGTAGGTTTTCCTTTGGGAAGTAGTTTTGAGTGTATTTTAAGCAAAACTAGGTTCTGCTTGAAACTGGGCATGTGAACCTCATCTGTCCGTGGATGACATTCTTATTCTCTGTTTGGGTTTTCCATCTAAAATACCATGTTTAGTGTTAGATCTAATCTGTGTTGTCTCTATCTACCTTCATGTAATGTGAATTGTAATGATTTTGAGCACACACAGGACTTCAAGAGGTAGTCTGGTCCATCTTCCCAGCAGGGTTAAGGACAGCAGGTTGCTTGGGTCCGTCCAGTCGTGAATGTCTCCACGGATGAACATTCTGAAACATATTTGGGTAGCCTGCTTCTGTGTTTATGCTGATGGTGAAGCTTCTCCTAGTTTCTAATAAGAGTATTTCTTGCTAAAACTCTGTCATCTGTTGTCCTTTTGTTGTGCAGGTCTAGGAAGAATTTCGCCCTGTGTTTTGTAGGCCCCTGCTAGATAGCAGAGGTAGCAGTAAGACACACCTGCAAACACCTTTACTTCAAGCTGAACAAACACATCTTCATTGTATGCTATGTGCTTTAGCTGTTGCAGTGGTCCTCCACTGGACTTGCTCCAGTATGTCAATGCCTCTTTCTTACTGGGGAGCCCAAAATGGCATTGCTGCAGGTGTGGTTCCAGGCAGAACAGAAGGAAATGATCACTTCACTGGACCTGTTGGCTGTATTCCTGTTAATGAAGCCTGATATTCAGTTACGTTTTTGAGTTGCAGATGAATACTGTTCATGTTCTGTTTGTCTACCGGGACATAAGGTCACTTTTGGGAAAGTTGCATTGTATCTTGTCAACCCTCAGCCTGCACTGTTGCATGGTGTCACTTTGTTCCAGGTGCAGGACTTCTTTCTCTGTTAAACTTTGAGGACTATTTCAAGGGGCTGGAAAAATAGGGTCCCTCTGAATCTTACCATGTAGTGTGTTGAGCCTCTGATCCCCACTTCTCCCCAGTTTGATCTACAGTTTTACAGAGGGTATAATCTGTTTCATTGTCCAGTTGATTAACAAAGAGGTAAAACAAGTGTTCACCTCAGTATTGACTCCCAGAGAACTCCAGTCTCTTTAAATTGTGTTGTTCACAACAATTTGTAACTCTTCCCTAAACTATTTCCTTCTAAATGCTTTTGTGAAAGCTCACTGTATTTTGAGATGCAGAAAAGACAGACTTCATTATCTGTAAATAAGTTCTCATAATTTGAGTTTTCAGTGCATGAAATGACTATTTAAGCTTTAAGATTGGTTTATCAACAGATTTGTTTATCCTTGTAATTCATCTTAAACTAGCTAATTCACTTCTCAAAGAGGCCTTTGTTTGAGAATATTAATACATTGAGCCTAAGGGTTTTCCAGTTCACCAGTATGAAAGACTTTATCAGTGGACTTGAAATAAAATATTGACTCTACAGGTAGCTGTGGATATTAGCACTTGTCATTCTTTGTTTAAAACATTGTTTTGTCTTGAATCCTGGCTGTTTGGCTCTGTTGCTTGGTCAGCTCTATGTAATATGCTGTATTCTTAAAGAGGTGGCAATTATCTATTGGAGGCTTGGTAGCTTGCCACATATACTTTTGTTCCAAATGATCAAGATCTGTCAGTAATATTCACAATGATCTTTCTGGATAACAAGTAGTTACCTTAATTCAGGTTATTCATTATAACTTATTCTAAATTATGTCATGGAGGAATGAGTTGGTTAAAAATGTCATGTTATGTCAGCCTATTTAATAATATCTTCGTTCAGAAGGAGTAACTAAAATTTTGTGAGCTGAACTTGTGACATTCCACAGAAATGTTTTCTCAAGGTCAAACTGTTCTAAAATATTTACCATCATCTATTTAATCCAATTACTGTAGAGAGCCATCTGAAAGTCTTTTAGCTGTTTTTTAATTCATGTAACCAGCTGGAGAGCTGCAGATGGTGTTGACAATACTATCTGCAATTATGAAGCATCTTCACTGCCGGCATTTCTTGCTTTGTCGGAAACTTCACCTTTTCTATGGACGTGTCGTGCTAGCAAAAGATGGAACGTTGAATGGTGTGCTACTTTACAATTTTTTTCCTTCTTTTTGTAGGATAAGTGCTATTGACTGGTTTTAACGGGGGGGTCAGTTTTCTCTGCATAACTGAGATCTAGTCTGGAAAACCAGAAAGGATTAGTTCAGCCAAATTCCTTCCTTGTGCTTTCACTCTGTGTTAGTAGAAAAGCATGCTTTCTCTAATTAAGCTGTTTTGCACTTTAATTATCTGCAGAATGTGCCTATTTGTGGTTTGGATCCCTTGTGTCTAGTAATTGTGAAATCCCAGTTCAACTTCTTTTTTTGTCTGCTGATACTGTGTAATAGATTCCAGAAATCAGTCTGCTGCTTAAAGTAGCATTTCACTTAATATTTTAAATTATTTGGTTAGTTTTATGAAGTCATTGGAGAACTGTTGAAGGAAAGGAGTTGTTTCTCTGTTTAGATACAATCATTCTAGACACTGGAGTGATTTAGTTTGGGGGGGGGATCATCTTGGCAAGGTCAAGCGGCAGACCTTTCTGATAAAGACCTGTCCTCAACTCCTAACTCTTCTCTCCCCAGGAAATACTGGGCTATAGTATGTGGTATTGTTAAAGCAGCTTGGTATCTGATGTGGAAGTTACTTTAAATAAAATATTTACCTTCAGAAACTGAAGATTGTCAGGTTGCTAGCTTGTTAGGTCGGTGCTAAGAGTTCAACTATATAAGCAGCAGCACATCACTCCCAATTTCAGGAGGTGGGAAGTCTGTACTTTAACTGCACCTAGGGGGTATTCCCAAACTGGGGGTCAGAACTGAGGGAAGAACAGGCAAATTCGGGGTTGCTTACTTTCTCTAGTGTTCAAATTGTTTAGATGCCAGTTTTTGCTCTGAAATGGGCTTTAGGTGGGGTTTGAAGCATAGTAAATGAGAAAACCCAGGAGATCATGTTATACCTTAGCACGAACTCCGTGCACCTCTCCTTGCACCGGGGAGGTTTGTCGGCTGGCTCGCGTGTCCTGCCGGCCGCCCTCTGACGTGACCTCCTGAGTGGTCCGGGTGCAGCGTCCCATACAAGCCTTTATGCTATCTGTCTGCAGTCTGAAAAAAGCCTTGACAATTTGATTCTTAACTCTGTTAAAACCTGCCACTTTGTAATGAAGAAGAATACTTAGGTAGTATTTCTGGATGTGGCTGTATTTATGGTGTTAGAGAAGGAGTAAGATTGAACCAGTACTGTCGGGTCTTGGGTACAAATAAGCCCTCTGCTATCTGGGTCATAAAAGCCCCAGTATGTGGTGGGTTGTTTTGGGTTTTTTTGCCTATGTAACTCAACTTTGTAATTGACTTTGATTTGTACAAAACTTACCCGATCCTGGTAGAGAGACTCTTTTCCAAAGTACTGAAATGTTTTTTTTAATACAGAATCTGCCTTGTATCTCCTCATTATGGCTACAGTTTATCTTAGATGGGGAGTAACTAGGATCTGTTGGAACAGGCAATAGTTGACATGTCTGTAGGAGAAATTGTACCCAATGGTAATGGGGTTACTTGTATAACTCTTAGCTTAGTGTTACCTGTTTTCATAGTCGCTCTCCCATAATAACAAATATCCCCCTCTTGTATGCTTTCTTGGTAGTGGAGAGTAAATTTGATTTAATGGAGTGTAATTGTTGCTCAGAGCTGAATACTCTCAAACTGAATTATCCTATAAATTGGAATTAGCTGACTTTTATTTGTTCTGTGTTAATCAGTACTATTTGCTTTCCTTTTAGATCAGTGTATCGTTACTCGGACGTACCTCTTTCTTCATAAATTTTGGTTCTTCAGTGCTGCCTATTACTTTGGGAACTGGGCATTCATTGTAGTAAGTACTTTGATTATAGAGATCACTGAATCAAGTTGAATAATTTACAGTAGTTGTCATTGAATCATTTGCATCACCACACTGCCATGTTGTTTTACGTATATTGCCCTTGTATGCCTCTTAATTGAATAACAGCAACTTTTACTACTTATTTTAAATTTGCAGGTCTTTTTAATTGGATTAATTGTTTCATGCTGTAAAGGCAAGAAATCAGTAATTGAAGGTGAAGTGGATGAAGATGATTCAGACATGAGTGATGATGAACTGTCTGTTTATTACCGTTGATAGCCTTTTGCCTTCAAGATGGAAAAACGTAATTTAAAGTTATGTTGGAAGTCATACCCATGTGGATTTGGTATCCAAAAAAGCATCCTTGCACCTGTAAACATAGAGAAAATAAGTGTACTCACTTAAAGGGGTAAAAAACTGAATATCACTTTTTGAGTATCACTGTTGTATCAGAACAAATATTGAAGCTGGGTTTGAATAATATCTAGAAAATACTGTTTTATGATTAAATGTATATGTAACTTTCTGATGTAAAATTTGATGAGCTGTTGTAACTATTTCATAATTCATGATGCTTTTCTGTTAACTAAAGTTTTCTTAAATACTTTCATGCCTAACTTGGAGGACTTTTTTTATTCAAGCTCATAAATAAAACTAGCTAGAATCCTGCAACTGGTGCAAACATTGCTAGAAAGATTTGGATGAGGTTTACACTTTCAGAAGGATGTGACTTAACTTTTGCATTAGCTTTCCTGGCATTTCTGGGGTTCCCATGTAAAGCTTTAGCTAACAAGAGACTGTCCTTAAAGTATGCCAAAAACATCCACTTAAGTGGTGAGTTCCTAGTCTGTGAAGAGTAATTAATTTTCATACTGTTGTCCCTACTGAGTTGTGATCCCATGGGAATCCCTCAGGTAACTGAGGTGGCTTTTGCTCTGTCAAAGGAAATCATTAGTGTAAACGACAACATTCAGCACTGTTGCAGTGTTTTGGTACAGTTCAGTTCTGAAACTGCCAGGTGCCTGACTTAGTACTCACCAATGGAATAATTAAGATGTGATTGATTTTTAACTTATTTTTCTCTTTAATGCAAATTGTCTAGTTTGAAGTTTTCTTTCAATATTTAATGTAAATGCTGTCAAATTGTTTACAAGCCAATATGTTTATATAAACACAGTTCATAAATATTTTTGTCATTCATGTTGTCTTTGTAAAGTAATGTTATTTTAGCTATATAGTTACTGAGCTATATTTCTAAGGCTGAAAAATATCTTCATATATGTTTTGACAGACTCAAAGAAAATGTTTACAAGTACAGGCTTTTAAACTTCTAATGCTACTTGAGGGGAAATTATAGTCCATGCAAGCACATGGAAATGTAACTTAGATAAGGTAATCTTTTTATAAAACTAATTTTTAAATATTGAAATGCAGGGGAATTATTAGTATGTCCTGCTTACATGTTTGCAAACTCTTACAACTGGCAGGTTTCTGTTCAGTTGTTTCAAAAACAGTCTGCCTCTTCCTGCAGTATTTCAGAACAGCATGCTCTCAGGAACTTCTGAATTTTAATTCAGTTTCAGTATTTCAAGAAATCTTAGGTGAGTTGCTTAGTTAATGCATGAACACAGGGAACTGATGTTTGGCCTCTTACAGGAACAAACAAAACTGAAGTCTTTTAACAAGCCTTCTGTGCTAACTGTTCCAATAATGTATAGGTTTATGTGGCAACCTGGAAGAACGTCTGATGTAGCTTGATCATAATCTGCAAATATGTAGTCAAGTCTGCTCAACTAATAGCAATCAATCTGTTTGCTACCAATGAGACATTTGAAAGGACAGAAATGTATTCAAATGCTGGTAGTAGGTACTGCAACTTGCCTAGGCAGTCTGAGCTCCCTTTGACTAGAATTAGCTGAACACTATTTAAACGTGACCATTGGGGAAACTTGCAAGGAATTATTTATAAGAATTTCAAGTAACTCAAATGTAACGTGCAACCTGATGTTGACTGTCTGGAAGCTGCATCCAGAGGATATCAAGAAGCTAGAGTATACTTCTTTGTAGATGCCCTGGTGGAAAACTTACGTGAGCTAATTAAAATAAAGTTAACTGCTCAGATGTTCCCCTTTTTGTGGGTTTTGTTCGTATTTCATCTTCAGCTTTAACCAATGATAATTACCACTTCCTGCTTTGGCTGTATCGTGTACAGATTTGTTTGTTAATCTTTCTGAGTGTAAGATTGAGCTGCGATACCCAATTTTGCAGAGTTGTATCCATTCTACCTTAACTTTGCAGTGGAGAGATCTCTGCTTGTCTGGGGAAGATTGGCAGGAAGGTGTTGGTTTCATGCCACATAGCTGCTTGCATGTTGCGTGCAGGTTTAGGAGTCACTGACCAAGATGCCTGGCCAGTCCCTGAGTATATGTTGCTATAAGTCTCCTCCCTTTCCAGGCTTTTCTTCATTTCCAGGTTCTTCCCAATCCAGTCCTGTTTCTTGTCTAAATAGTCTATATGCAGAAATGCAATGGTCTGCCTTTGAACTGGTCACTTTGTCTCTTGACTCTTTTAATTGGAGGATTCAGTAAGTACCACTTTTTTTAATGCAGGCATTAACCAGATTTACAACAAGCCTATTGCTAGTTGCAGCTAGCAAGGAGCAGGCTTCTGCATGAGAGTTCAAAAGTTGTTTCAGACATTTGCTGTCACCCTCTGTCATACAAGCAGTAAATAACTGTCAGCGTTTATAATAGGAATTATTCTTCACCTGCCACATCCTCACTAAAGTTTCTCAGGAGTTCAATGAACCATTTGACTGACAAGATTTTAAAAGATTTTTTTTATGCACTAAGGTAACTGTAATGAATATACACTCAAGAATTCAGCTCTGATCAATACTTCATGTGATGGAAACTTGACATTAACTGTACTGTGCCTTTAAAATGAACTAGAGGTGGGTTTGAGGTTTACTGTGTGTTGAACTCACCAACTGGGTTTGTACATCCAGTATCCTTCAGTGAAGAAAACTAGCAGTGAATTTCAGATCACCCTGGCTTAAAATACTTGGCTTTGATCAATACTTGCAGGAACTCTAAGAAACAGAACTTCTACTACATTATTTTCTAGTTGTTTCTTGTGCTGTCTTCAATAAAATACTTGCAAGTAAAACAATGAATTACTTTTCTTCCACAAAGTTATCCCTGCTGTGTCAGCAGTTGTATGATTGAAATAGTTCACTCATTTAGCTGTTAGCTATGAAATGATAGTCCAGAGTTTCTGCAGGTTTTAGAGCAAGTCTGAACTTTCCAGTCATGTTATAATACAGTATTTGACCTTATAAGCAAACTTCTAACATCTTCAACTGAGTCTTCAGAGATCTCAATTTTCTGGATTAAGGTCACTTAAAGCATTAGAATTGTTTCACTGCTTTGATTATATGAATGATATTCCAAGTCCATCTCGGTAGTGTGAGCTTTCAAAAGTTCTGAATGGGTGTAGTGCTATTGTCAGGCCTGGCTTAAGTTAGATTTTTTTGTTGTTGTACTTGTCTAATCAGTTTCTACCATGTTGGAGGCTCATGAACATTTAGAAACTAGTAAGCCTTAAATCTTGCTGACGCATCAAGCGTAAACCATGGTCACCAGGAATATGTTTAATAGAATTCAGCAGCAACATGTGCCAAATGGGTCCTCATCTTGCTGCTTGTTCTGTTGTGATTGGTAGTTTATGTGGAGTTAAACATCATAAATACAATAAAGCCTGTAATAGTCTGTTTTGTTTCTTAGCTGAGAGCTGACAGTATGCTGCAGATTTCCTGCTGATTGTCAGAAACGAGTGAAAAGCCTTTCCTGGTAGAGAGTGCAAAGAACCATCTGCTACCTTCCTGTATTTTCTGCTTTGACTTCAGGAAAAGATTTCAGGGTAGACTTGAGATTTTGTACTGAACCTGCTTTTAGGTGGAATGTACCTGTACCAGAGTCATGCCGCATAGAATGGTAATTTTGTGCTCAGATAATGTGACAATTTAAGCTAAAAGGTAATGAATCTTTTTAATGCTCATGTTTTGCTTCTGAATAATCAGTACAGACATAACTCTTCAGATTCTGAGATGTCTTCTACTTAGAAATTGTATTTCTTGGGCTCGCAGCTGTTTTGTTGTTTGACTTTCTCAACACAAGTTCCTGAATTGGACAGTAGCCTACAACAGCATTTTGAAAAACATTACCCCATTGTAGAAACTGTTATGTGGTTTATCCTAAAACACTGGTAACTACTGGTGTACATAGCAGAGTTAGAGCTGAGGTGTTTAAGAAAACTGATCTGGTTATGGATAGGGAAATAAAGCACTCCTTGTGAGATAAAGCAAAGGAAAAAGATTAATTCGTTTCTAAAATAGTCTAAAATAATTTGAATTACTCAAGCTGTAACATTTTTCTGGCTCTTAGGTTGAAGATTATAGTTCATATTGATCATACATCTTCTTACATTAGTGTAGATCTGTTCTCTTGCAACCTTCTGCAAAGTCAGCTTTCTTGCAGATAAAGCAAACAAATGAAATTGAGAATCACTTTTTTTCCTGTAAATGCATATTTTGACTATACTTCTCAAAAGAAATAAAAGCCTTGTTTTGATTGTGGTAAGATATCATTTTCTGCTAATAGTCTAAATTCTAAACCAAATTCTGCTTCTAAATTAAGATATTTGCCAATTCTGGATAATTAAATGAATCAGAAATTCTAGTGTTCTTGACCAGCTTTGGTGAGATGTGGTTGTTACAGAAATTATCTGGAAGCTGGACTAATTTTAACATCCTCCTATTCAGAGAGATTGCATGAGTGATAGCACTTCAGTCAAATACATAGCTATAAAGAGAATTATTTCGTTGAAATAAACAGACAATGTAAGCACATTTAACAAAACCATATTTACAGCTTTCTTCCAGATTCACCTCTAGGAAAAAAGTGCTATATTTAGGGGGTCAGACAGAAGAATTCTGGTTGCTGGAGGGCTGATCTTGGAGGTAAGCCACACAGATCTGCTAAGTTTCCTGATCCTTCTGTGTTCACCACCTGGAAGGACATGTGGGGGCCTCCCTTATAACAGCTGTTTAATGTTGAGTCTAAATTTTGCTTGATATATACATACCTACTTTTTTCCCCCAGAGAAAATATGCAGGTTGCCTGTAAAACATATAACTTAAATTTTTTGAGCAATTTTGAAGAATGATGTAAAAATCCTTATTGTGAGAATCCAAATATCTTGCATAAAGGTAGAGACTGAGAGAATTCAAAGCAAATGTGAAGCTGAACATGTGTGCAGTTGCTGCTGAAATTCCAGTCTGGATATGGAGCTTTTCAGCAGAATGTATCGAACTTCCTGTGGTTAAGTAAAATATAGATTGATTTAATAACACTTCTGCTTCTGCTAAGCTGCTTAAACATAAATAATAGTGTTACTGTGAGCTATACGGAGGTTGAAAATTCTCCCACGTATACTAAGTGTATCGCTTCAGCTGAGAGTACTTCAGAGTCAGGACAGCAAAAAAGACTTCTAATAATGTCAATGTCTATGATATTTCCTCTCCTCCCCCCTCAAAACCGAAAAAACAACCCTC